CATCTTTAATGTGTTACCCAACAACGTCCAAAACACATCCTTAGAATGTTGCAGGCAAAACGTTCCACCTTTGTTAACATATCACATTAAAGGAACGTTTTATAAAAAAACTTTCTGTCATCTCAGGCCTTAATAACATCCTCAAAACATCCTCTGAATGTTGCAGTTCAAACGTTATGTCTTAGTTAACCTTAAACCTTATAGGAACATTATTTGAACAAATAAACATCCTAAAAAGGTTCTTTGAACATCAGATTAGGGATTACTGTTTTTCTGATAAATGAGAGAAAAGTGATTGAGTCCATGTCCCTATCACCAAAAAGTACAATTTCCGTCTAAACTAAAGTTTACAGGACTATCATTCAGTATTTTTTTAGTTAAATAATTGTCTGACTATTTGGTGATGGAGGACAACCACCTGGTTCATACCTCTGCAAATCTGAAGAGGATAAGAGTGGTCATTCTCAAGTTATGGGCTTTTTTGTCACCTTTCCCACATTCGGCCTGGTCTAATTTGGCTCTTTTTCAGGGATTAGAGTAGTTCTAAAGAACAACCAAACAATTTTTTTTACCCCAAAATAAAATTTGACAACAATCAATTTCATTAATGGGAGACCCTAAAGATAAGAAACATCATTGTTGTGTTTTGTTCTACCTCGGGTAGGGGTATCTCGAAAACTAAAGCCTTTTTTGAGGACTTGCTGCTAGACTGTAGCTGTACCTCATCCTCAAGGTTGTGTCTGATGGCTGACTGTTAAACATTGGAATAGGACTCTGTTAGTTGAAAGTCTGTCCTACTGTGAAGGCCGTGTGAGGGCAGGGTCTGTTGCATTGATTTCTGTTACATGATGTTTTTTTGTCTGTTTCTGATGGATAGGAAGTGGATATGGACATCACTGTTTCCTATGCTGACAAGAAAGTGTTCCTGCAGAGTAACCGATCGGAGTAAGACGTTTTGTTGGTTTTTAAAAACCTACTGAATTTCAAACGACCTACTTACAAACTGAAACACTTGCATAATATTTTAATCTGTAATTAAATTCAGCATGAACAGGCAGGAAGTCATACTAAAGGTGTCAGTATGTTCAAATCAAACTGATTGTCCTGAATGGCACACTCCGGAAGGAAAGGTGAGGAAGAGTGGTCTTTAGAGGAAGGCTGTGTTCACTGGTCACATGGAGAGAGCCACATCTCCAAAGGCATTCATTGGGCACACTACCAGGTTCTTCTAGAGGGCTTTGAAACAAAGCTCTTTCACACATCTGGCTATTTTTTCTCTTCCATCTGCCTGAGTGTTGGATTGCCGTTTGTTGCCAGTGAGCTACAGAAATGTTATGCAGATGAAGCAGTTCTGTATAAATACCACAATACCAACTCCACTACATCAGCTCCGTGTGCTCAGTGTGTGATTATCCTCCTCTCTAGGATCTACGTTCTACAGGCTGAGTTTTCATCACAAAACCAACCGGTAAGATTTTTTCATTTGTGAATTATGTGTAGAAAGTGTTTTTCATGTGTCCCACCAAAAAGACATCCTGTCCAACTCCTTCAAAATAAAATAGCTGGATCCTTCCTTTGACCATGACACATATAATCAGCATATACACTGTAAGTCTGTTTGGATAAAATATGGAATTAGATTGGGGTTCAATTAGCTCTCCCTCTTTTTCCAGCATCTGGATCAGGCACAACTGGATTTTATCAGAGAAGCTGTGGAGAAAATAGGAATTCCCAAAGTCCTGTCGGGTAAGTCCAGAGACATACAAATATAAAAAGTGAAACCTGTCTTAAACCTTGTCCGATTCACTCCACCATTGTAAAGCATTATTCTAAAAGGAGAAGACAACTGGCAATGTATCATTTAAAAAAAAAAGGAAGATATTTAAATTACTTATTTAACAAGCAAGACAAGTCGTCATATGATTTTCCAATGCCCTTTATTGTACATTCATTACTGTATAGATTTTTAAACTGAGCACTTTGCTGGATTCCTTCAAACAAATGTCTCCTTGCAGCTGATTTGGACTTTAATATCCTTAAATGTATTTATTTTCTGTTGGCTGTTGCTAATTCGGTAGTAAAATTACGTTTTGTGCTATAGTAGCAGCATTAGTTGTGATACCATTGAAACTAATCATCTTTAACAGCACTGCCAAGCTTGAGTCAACTTACAGCAAAATGTAGTTCAGGGAACTAAGTGGAACCTGTAATGGCTACATATCGCATTATTTTTGTTCAATTACAATTTGAGAGAAGAGGTACAGTGGTGTTTAAAGTGATGTGTTTTCTATGATATTTCTGTGGCATGGCTTGCAGTGTTTGAGACAGAGGTAACCAGGCTTCTGGACGAACAGGGAACTTACCTGTTTGACATCTTCAGCCCGGAGGTGCTTCCTCAGGAGGTGAGTGTTTTCTGGACCTTTTTCATCTCTTCATCCTCTGTGTTTTAATCACATCGCTTCTCCCCTTTCCCTTCCTCTTTCTGTGCTGAAGGGCTTCACTGTGATTCAGATGGATTTTGGTTTCCCTCATCAACTGCTGGTGGAGTTCCTCAGAAGGACACTACAGTAACTAAGCAACCCTTCGGCAAAATGAGACATATTCATGTTTGTCTCAAAGTGCTGCTACTATAAAAATGTACCCTTTAATGTGTAAGCTATGCAAAAACAATGTTGTTGCATTTTTATTTTGACCATATTGTTTAGATAAAATGTAGATATTAATGGTTATAACAAGATTTCCCTGATAACCATAAAGTGTAAATCATTGCTAAAAAGGAAAGTACTACTGATTTTAATACATTGATTCAGTCTAATTTTCTATTAATAACAAACCAAAAAACAGACATACAGAAACTGACCATTTACATTTTTGTAAGTGTGGAGCAATAAAACATGTTTAGTATTGCGTTTTCTTTTAATATAAGATATTTGTTTGAGCACTATTGATTGGTTGGCTTGGGTCACATGGATATGGGCGACACTCATTATAATCCTGTTCACCT